AGGCTATTTTACTTACACTAAAAGAACAATAATCATTTTAGCTGAGTAAATGAGAAATCCATATTTTTTTATTAGCTCTGCTTACATTCATATTTGTGAATTATCTATGGGAAAATTCCCATTCTTTTTCCTTCCCGTGTAAAGCGTGGGAAAACCTGAACAGTTTTCAGGTGACAGTTGTCTCTTAATGTCATTTCTTAGTGTATCAGATGTATAAAATTCAACTGTATTAATAACTGGTTGGATGCATATGGTGCAGGTGCATTTCTCTTCCCCCACTGGGTAATTCTAACTAAGTGTGGAAAGCATTTAATATATTGGGCAGTCAAGTTAATGCTAGCAGGGAAGCCGAATGAACAACTTCAATTTGTCCCCTTATAGAAACACTCTGTGAAATGTTATTTCACTTGCTGTCCTCCTCCTGTTCCTTCCCAGGACTCTTTAAAGAAATTCTTTATTTTTTCTCTTTTCCTTCTTCAGATGTTTGAGTCCAGGACTTATTCACTACGTGTTTTATTTTACCCTCTGCTTTACTCCTTGTTCAAAGGACAACTTGATGGGTTTTCTAGTAGTTTCTTCCTTAGTACCCTCCTCTGTAGGATCTGGGTGTTGTGTGATACCTCAATGGCTGAGGTCATATTATTGATTTACTGGTGGGAGAAGGAAGTTCAGATACCCTGATTTTTAAATGGATTTAAGTCATTGCATTGATTTAAGTAAGTGGCACATAAACACATAAATCCTTAGCAAAATTCAGGTGGGATTAAGTTACAAGGTATCACTAATGCCTCGTTTAAACACTGAGAAGCCCTGCTGGAGTTGCCAGTTTAGACACAGACCACGTGGGCAGCACTGGAGAGGGTCAAGGCACTCTCAGAGCCCAGTTCTGCAGAGTTTCTATGGCTCTGGATGTTCACAACCAGACTCCACAAAAGCTCGCTTCGTTCTTGTACAGATCCAGGCTATTTTAATGAAAGTTTTATAAAATGTTCAGTGAGAGGCAGAGATTCAGAATGGAAAATTCCATTTCAAAGCGTTGAAGTCTGGCAAAGTTATAGTTGACAAACATCAGGGGAGAGCTATGGTGAGAATTGCCAGGTGAGCCAAAAGGAGGGCAAATGTCACCTGTACAACCAGACAGGGCCTGGACACTCCAGCTAAGTCCTGCTGCACTTGGAAAACTGGCTCTGCAGCACAGTCCCTGCTTTGAAGATCTGGGAAAACATGAAAGCAGATAGAAGCTGTGAGGAGGAAGGCACCCTGGGTTATATTCCTGACCTAAATATATACAATACATGCACACATTTCTGAATAAGCAGAAAAGGGAGATAGTAGACAGGAAAGTTGTGCGGAGCAGACAATGTAAAACTGTTTCCATTTCGGTGGAAGTATTCACAGCATTTTAAAGTAATTTGTCAGCTCTTTTTATAATGTGATTAAATTGTACTTCTCTGCTGATACTCAATATTCCCACCAGAAAATTAAATTATAAATAAGTGAGAAAAAAGAAAAACTGAGAGATGTAAAAGAGTAAATATAAAAATGGCACCACATAGGTAAGATCCTATCCTACTCTCCGGGCTTCCCAAGGCATCTCTCCCATACATTTCCTGGCCGAGGTCTTATTCTAAATGACTTGTGTAATCTTCGCGCAGTTCAAGGCCTGGCCCATACTTGCCATGTGAACAAGCTAACGCGTGCCAGGAAGAAAAACCTGGAGTAACAGCGTGTGAATTTAGAGCCTTTCAGAAGCAAAAAAAAAACTCCTTGCAAAAAAAGCTGATGAACCAGCGTTACTTTAAGGCAGCTGGAATAGTTCGTGCTCTTGTTTTTATCATTAGTGCTAAGAGGGAAAGACAGCTTTGTTTTCACATGGTTATTGATTATTAACCAGCTTCGTGAAAGGTTACCTTTCTTCCAGATACAGCAGAGTGGGGGTTTTAAAAATCAATCCCTGGGAAAGCTCTGTTTCCCAGTCAGCTTTTCCTTCTCCTGCTGCTGGACTTTGCCATGAATATGGTCTCCCTGTGCTGGTTTGAGCAGGGCTAGAAAAAGAGATCATTTTGAACATGTTCCAGTCAATGTTTCTTAGGTATTTCTTTTCTGTCAAAATGTGAACAGGAAAAAGCAAAAGCAAAAACAGTCAAGCACTGAAAAGTCATCAAATTACTACTCAGATTTAGAAAATCAAATCCAGATTCCATTGAGGAAATATGACTGGGCTATACTCCTTGCTATTTTGTATTCTAGTTTGATAGTTAAAAAGGTGGAAGGTAGGATAAACAACACATGATTTATAATGGGAAAAGTGACTAATTGAGTAGAGGATCACAAATTATTGGTACTGAAAGGCAAACAAAATGGTCCTGTTGCCTTTCCTAGAGAATCAAAAATGCTGTATCCAGACAGTTTTGCATCTCAGCAGCTTGCAGTAATGTCAGCTAGACACTACTGGGGACAAGATTTTCAAGATCTTCAGAAAACAGCAGCTCACATTAAGCTCCTAAATTAAACATTTTAAGTAAGGTCTTTAAAAATGTCATCGGATTCGAGGAGGATGAAATTATGAATGTGATATTTATATTATGTCATATTACATTATGAATGTATTATATCTTACATTTTAAAATCACGAGGATACCATATTACCTAGGAGGATGGTCTTTCCAAACCACTGAGTACTCAACAATGTTATTTTATTAATACTACTACCTTGTAAAGCTTCAGGATTTGCATAATAGGTAAAAACACAGTTAAACCATGCAGAAAGCTTGTCTGCAGGACAAGCACTGAACTAAAGCAATATGATCAAACTTTGATGTGACATAAAAAAAAAAGCTTGAATTAAATAGGGTTATCCAAGTATTGCAGTGACTTATAATCATTTGGTTTTTGCATAGTCTCACTATAGGACAGCCACAGATGAGTACAGATCCATTTGCTATTGATACAAGAATACGTCAATCCCTGCTCTTGCCTTAGGGATAATTAAAACATGCCTGTAGTACTCAGCATTGGTGCTATTGCCATCATCCCTCAATTACTTATACATACTCAGAGTTTCATTTTTGTCCACTTTCTTAGAGTAAGAAACCTATTGTAAGTATCTCCCTTCTTACCAACTTTGGTGAGACTATTAATTATTCCCAAAACATCATCTCAAAGTGGGCAAATATTAATGGCCAACAGAGGAAACAACTTGCATCTACTTTTTTTATTTGTTCTTTGTGTTTTTTGTTTTTTGTGTTTTTTGTGGCTCGACGTGAGCTAGATCTATGCTGCTTGTTGCAGGATCCAGGCTTGTGAGTTAGGTAGCACCAAGACGGCAGTGTGAGTTTCCCACCTCCATGTCGTGCTGGACACACTGAATACTGCAGTCACAGTATATGTGAACCCAAGGTATGTGTAGTTCCTATGGAGCACCTATGGGCTCCCGTGGACTGTAGAAACACGGACCTCCAACCAAACTGCAGGGTGCATCCACCCAAGTATTTTAAGGTGAGGAAAAACCTGCTCATCCCCTTGCTAATTTGTTCTGTATTTATATGAAATTTGTTCTGAACTTATATGCAGTGTATCCCTTATTTTGAATTTGTTGGTTTACATGATTTCAGTGGTTAGATGCTAAACACTCTTGTACATTTATTGATTGGAATAAAGACACCATCAGTATCAGTATCAGTTGTCTTTTCTTCATACAGTTACCTATAGACTGGGGATGGTCACTCCAACCTGCTCAACTTGAGCTGACAGGACAGGAGAAGGTTCCATCTGGGAGATGCGATGTGCACACAGAGGGCTCCCAGCTCAAGACCTGGAAGTGCTCAAGAGCTGCTGGCCTTGAGGAGCCCACACGAGCTAAAAAGGCAACTCTGACCTTTCCGTCTCTCACACTGTGCCTCAAATTTCTTCGAGGACAAGAATTAAGGCTAAGTGAGACAAACTTCGGGGACTTCCTCCTGCCTGGCTGGTGCCTGGGCTCTGGGCAGGTTCACATCAGCCCAGCTGCCACCCAGCTGCACCCCTGTCCCGGGGTCCCCAATGCCGGGATACGCAGCGGGGGCCTTTTCCTGCACTGCAGCCGGCTGCCCTGTTGTTAGCACAGCCAAGCGGGCCCTTATCGCCTGCTCATGCAGGCAGAATGAAAGAGAATTAGCTCTAAATTATACGAAATTCATTTGCTTTGGAGGGGGAAATGTTTGCTCTATTTAGAAATGTGCGTTATAGAGAGAGGGCCGCATTAAGACACCGGGTAATGGTCCTCCCTGGAGATGAATCAATTTGCTCTGTTTTTTATGGCTGCGCGTTTGTTTGTCCGCGCCGGTTCCTCGTGGAAATCCCGGGGCTGTAAATGCTGCGGGGAGCGGCGCGGAGCTCGGCTTCCCCGCGGGGCCGGGACCGAAAGCAGGGGGCACCGCTGGGGGGGCCTTTCCCACACGGAGACGAGCTGCTTTCCCCGCTCCAGAGCTGCCTCCAGCGCGGAATGGGGCTCGGGGTTGAGGTGGGAATGATGCACAAAGAGGTCGACACCTGGATTAACCGAGGGGGCTGCGTTTAAGGGACACCCGCGTCTTCAGGACACCTCGTTGGGGACATCGCAAGGCTGCCGAGAAAGGACCGGAGATTCCGCTAAGGGAGTTCGCACCTTTCTGCAGATCCCCCCAGCCCCATCAGGCTGGGATCGCCACCCCCGGGATGCCAGGGGATGCAGAAGGAGGGAGCGGGCGCGGGGAGCACGAGGAGCAGTGATGTCTATCGGTAATTCCCGCTAATAAAATACTTTTTCACTATCCGCACTATAATTGGTTTACAGCCTTTTTTGTTTATTTATCCATAAGAGCTGCTGTTAAATGGCTTGGGAAAGCAATTGCTTAATGGCTCAATATTGAATCAAAGACGCGCTGTGCTTTCTCAGAGACGGGGGAGCCGAACGCGTTCATAGCGGAAACTCATTTTAGACGTAATGGACTGGGCGGTTTTATGATCCCTCGGAAGCCGCCATGGAAGTGAGGTGCCCCGACGGCTCGAGGCGGCTCCTCTGGTCCAGGGGCCGGCACCCCGGGCACCTCCTGCACCCCCCAGAACCCCTGGGAAGCAGCAGCCCCCGGGCGGGTCGGGCCGCCCTCGGGGCCGCTCTGCGCGGAGCAGCGCGGAGCGGAGCGGAGCCGGGCGGGAGGCGGGTCTGTGCGCGCCGGGGCGAGCGCACGGAGGCAGGGAAATGATCTTTGTCCCTTTCGGGAGCTCTCCGCCTCCTCATAGCCTCGTCACCAAGTCAACCAGCGCCGACTTGGAGAACATTATCTCCGAGGGTCAACACATTGCAGCCCAAGCCGCAGAGAAGGCTCCCAAATTTACCCCTTCGGCAAACAATCTTGCGCGTATCGCCCGCCCCGCCGATAGAG